CTCCCCCGCGCGTCCTGCCCCGGAGCAGCACGGCCGGCGGCAGGCAGGGTCCGCATCCCCCCGTGCGGCAGCGGGCGATGCGAGGTGGCACCTCTGCTCTGGAGCCCAGGGGCAGCAGCCACGGCGCCGCGTGCGCAGGACGAGGGGGGCTCCTCAGAGGCAGTTACCCGGGTATTACCACTCAGAACCACCTAAAATCCTCAAGTGTGACAGCCCCCACCAGCGGGCTCGAGGGACATCTCCGTACCCCCGAGCGGAGTCATCCCCCACCGCTTTGCCTCCGGAACGGAGAAACCACTCACAAGAACATCATCGCCCACCTCAGCAGAAGCTGAGCAGACTCTCCCCCACCCAACCACTCCCCCGCATTCGCCCTTCTTAAAGCCAACAACTTACCTTTGGCAAATCTCACTGCCGCTATTAGGGCATGCCCACGGGAGGAAGATAGTCTTGTTCGTTTTCTGGCAAAGGTAAGCCGAGAAAACGCTCAGCGAGATACAGACGTGCGTAGAAGTGTGGGAGTCTGCTGCCCCTTTCATCTCCAACGGGATGGTCTCATTTTATGCCACCCCAAATGCTATTTAAATGAGGTTTAAGCCCTGTCCTTTCATCTTCTCTACATGAGGTTGCTTTTGAGTACTGCTCCGAGAGATGATCACAGGAGGACGGGTAAGAGCAGGCGAGACTGCAGTGATCAGAGCCCACCCGCGACGAGGTGCCTGCGAGGGAAGCGCCGAGACTGCCGTTACTCCACACGCTGCGCACAGCCCAAGCCCACCCCACGGGGGGAAGATCCCCCTTGCAAAGGTGCTGCAAGAAGCCTTTCCGAATGCCAACGGCGGACCAAGGGCTTGTGACACTCGTTTCTCTGAAGATCTGGCCAAGTTCATTCCCTCGAGGCCCAGCATCCGTAACGGGCAGCGCCAAGGCGTGAGACAGCCTTCCTACGGGGGGAACTCACCGCAAGCCCCTCAGCCCCCCAGTGCCACCTGCCAGGTGACAAAGCGAGACAAACCACGAGCACGGACACGGCGTACCAAAGAACACACCAGCAAACATCGCTTTATTACACCGGTTCAGTTATCCAGACTAACCATAAAAGCCATTTAGATGGATGTAGACAAACAAGTCAGTGTTTTACGTATTAGGCCAAAGCTCCAGAATCCTTACCAGGGAGCAGGTATTCTTCACCAGCTGTTCCAGATGTCCCTAAGTGGGTCTTTGGCGGGGAGGGGAGGAGGGAGGTACAGAGACAGGTCCCCCCGAGGCGCGCCTGCTGCCGCCGAGTCGGGAGACAGCCGCAGGAGGTGGTATTGCAGAGAGAAGGGGGGAAACGGCGCTCACCAGCACACACGGAAGGGAGAGAGCCTGGCCCGAGCCTGGCTCGGCGGGGACTACGCAAGCACGACACACCGGTAACGAGCTACCACACAATCGGCTATCGGTTCCTAAGACCGGTCTAAAGATGGAACTAGAACGACTCCGGGTGGAAAGGCGTAGAAATAAATACTCGCTCAACTCTCTGCCCATCCACACGCTCGCCAGCACCCAGCTACGCAGCCAGATAGTCTTCACTACCTCACCGCGGCAAAGCACTACCGTTTAAGAGCAGCCGGTGAGCCGCTACCCACAGTGCCTGGTACATACTCGAGGGAGAAGCCCGATGCTACCTCTCACCTTGGTCACCCTCCTCTCCGCCTGCCAAGCGACCGGGGCAGCCCCCGGCCCACAAACTCCGCTTCCTTCGTTGAGCTCTTAGAGGAGCCGCCTGGTCGCCTCTAATGGAGGACCGCCCCTTCTTTAGGGGTGGAAAGTACTCGAATCACTCTGTAAACATGGGAGAAACACAGATTTTGGTCGTCCTTCACATACAAGACCAAAACGGATCAGAACTGCGGATGTCTGCTAGCCAGCAGCTCTGCGAGTCTCCTGCCACTTCTCAAGTTTGGGGTTGCACTTGTGGAATTTTACTGGTGGTGTTTACATCATTTTCTTCTGGATAAGCACTTCCCTGAAAAATACCCTTTAACGGCCAGATTAGATCACAGTCTTTAAAAAGTGATATGGTTACAGTTATGCCAGTGCCTTAGACGCCCAGGCAAAGGCTCAGAGCAGAGGTTACAAAACTGACGCTTAGTGTAGCACTTACATTTTGGAATAATGACCTGGAAAAAAAAAATAAATGCAGCCCAGGTTTCCAGTTTGTTTTCCCGGATGCTGAGTCACCAGCAGAAGCGCTGCCTAGCTCGGCCTGCAGACCGCCGCTGCTACACAGCGCTCGGGGAAGAGCGACGCGCTTCGCCTCAGCTTGTTCTTTTGGCAGGGACGGCGGGACCCCAAGAGCTGCTCTGCGCGAGGCTGCGGGGAGAGCCTTCTCCAGAGGGACTCGGCAGACCGCTCGCTCTGCAGCTGCCGTGGGAGGGTCGGGGCAGCGCCGAAGGATGGCAGAACGGGAGGTGTCCCGTACGGCAGACGCCAAGAACGAAACGCTCCTGGTAAGCAAACTAAAAGAGCTGAGAATAAGGCAAATAACTTAAGACTGACGGAGGAACTCTCAGTTCTCTGCTTGTAATACATTTTACTCCACGAAGCGAAGGAAAGGCAGGTTGACCTTTCTTATTTAACCTTCCCTTACATTTAAGAGATGACCAAGACTAAAAGAAACAAAGAAAAAAAAAAAGAACTAAGGAGAAGTTGTCTGTCTCCCTAGAGCTGCGATACACCAGAAAACTGTTGTAGGCTATTCCCGGATGCTGAAAGTCAGTTTAGAGAAAGGCAATAACCCCCTCTCACAGGGGCTGTAGCAGTAGTGTACTGTATTACATTCTGTGCAAGTTACGCAACTTGTTCACAAGCTTCAGTTTATCTATGTTTACCTCGCTGCAGTTCTGCTGATCGGTGGCTGAACACTTTAAACAATCTTACTCCACAGCTCAAGGTGGTTTCAGCAGAAAAAAAAAGAAATTAATGTCCTGTGTCTGGTACCTGTACACTCCAAAACAAGTGTTCCTAATGCCCAAACGTCAAAATCGAGATCTCACAGTTTACTGGAAATAGATCAGCTAGATTCCCTTTGCGCTTCGTTTTAAAGCCCCTTGTCTCCGAACCCTGTTTTCAAGGAAGACATACAACGCGCGCGAATGAAGATCCCATCTTGTTGCAACGGTGTTGGTTCTGACTTCCCTCTACACAGACCTTCTCCGCCTCTGACTACGTGTACACGAGGAGAAAGGGTGCGTATGTCAAAGTGACATCTTTTCCCCGAGAGGATTTTCACACATCGGAAAGCTAACAATGAAAATTACAAGTTAGGTAGGATAAGGTTGAAACTGTCCACCGGGCCACCTTGAGCACTACGAGTTCCTTTTAGCCCTTTGTCTGTTGCTCAAAGTTTCCTCTCCCTTAGTTTGTTCCCATTTTGTTCGTCCAGTATTGATGAGTGTCCATCACCGTTGCTCAAGCATTTGTCCTTTTCGTATCTGTGCTCTTGCTTCTGTCGCCTTATCTCCTTATAGCGCAAAGTGATGTCACTAAAAAGAAAACAGACACACAGACGTGAACTAGTGATGTGAATAAACAATCTCCATATACAAGAAGAACACCACGGCAAGTCTGCGGGGATGCAGGTGCCCTTGGGATTACAGCCCACTCGAGCCTTTCTGCTGGAAATGTCTAAAATTGCTCATGGCATTGACTGACTTGAAATTTGTGTTTCTTGCTCGTAGTCTGGCTATCGCCACCTCTTCCGGAAACACAACACAACAGCACGCGCAACACGAGCGGCCACTGCTGTTGCACAGGGTCTCCTCTACAGAGGAGTGCAATTCTTTCAGCCTTGTGCAGCTGCTTTTCACGGACTGGCGCGGAGCGGCAACCAAACCAACCACCTTTACCTTGGCTCCCTGCCGCTGACGCTGGGACAGCACGGACAACGGCAACACAGCAGACTGTTCTTGCAATGAAGCTGCAAAACAGCTCAGGCTCGTCTAACTCGGAGCACAGGAAAAACAAAACTCTGACGTCGTCTGCCACCTTCGCCCATCCAGGAAGATCAGGTGCAGTCAGGCACTTAGCGGCTCACCTGCTTCTACAGCGGCACCGTCGCAAGTAGTCCCACAAAGACCAAAGCTACCAGAGGCTTGATCCAGACACAAAACTGCCAGGATCACGCACAGAAAACTCCCTGTTTATTTAATAAGTCTTACACAAACACTGCAGCTCTAGCCATCCAAAGGGGTTGTAATCTATCCTCAGGAGGCGCTGAAGGCTAACGACAGCGTACACGTGAAGACACGCTCTTGATGGATGTCCAGAACAACCCGCCCCGTAAGATGCAGACTAGACCCAGGCGTAGCCCATCAAACACCGCTTACCGGATGAAGAACCGCCAGGCTGTCCAGGTGAGCACAAGTATAATGCCCAAGATCCAGCACTGGGTAATGTAGAAAGGAAGAGAGAGCGTGAGCGTGTAG